ATGCTGGACCTCATTCAAGCTCAGCTTGGGGGTAAGGGTGTTCTATCGCGTGGCTGCCCCTGGACACGGATGCTTTGCTGAGGTAATGATCTTGCTATCTTTAGTTTCTCTGACTATAAAATGAGAGTGATTATGCTTACAAAAACTCTGTTGGTTAAATTATTGAAGGCTCTGAGCTGAATTATCTCTGTTTATTTGATGTTATTTATAGCAGCCTTGTAAAAGCTCAACTTGAATTATCCAACTTACTACAGTGCTCTGGCTCTGCTTGTCAAATAAAGATTTTAGAACTCTCATGCAATACATTGAATCAGTGCATTAGTGTAATATGGTAATTAGATGTTGTATTAGAGGAAACCAGATATTAGAACACAGTGAGTGTGTATACAGTTAATAGGTATCAGGCTATATATAGATGTATACGTACTGCACATAAATGAACTTTTAAGGAATATTAATTAGGTAAAGTTATTGGAATATGAGAAGTACTGGGCAGATATGCCCTCGTAGGAGTTTTCTAGCTTGTTGGTATGAATCATTAAAAATTAATGCTGTAATTTACACACAACCTCAGCAGGCATATTCTAGATTTGTTAGATAATACCGTGGTAAATGTTATAAGAAAAAGGCCTCCCATGGTCAGGTAATTTGGGAACTGTTTTGTTAAGCCAAGTTGGATTCCCCACCTCCCAACCCCCAGTAGATTTCCTTGCTGGAAATACAACTGTGCAGCTCTTTTACTGCAGACTATCTTCTGGGACAAGTGCTCGGTGGCTTGCACTTTGGAGAACACTATTTTGGGCCAGTCTTTTCACTTTCCAGATGAGAAAATCGAGATCAGCAGTGGTTAAGTGACTACTACTTTTATCTGCAAGGGAAAATAAAGCTAAATGAAACTAAATGTAAGGCCTGGTGTGGGATACTTTCCGATGTTCTTTCTCCTGTGTCATTGTATTGTCTCCCAGATGTCACCGAAACAGAGTCAGCTGTGCCACCGTTTTGCCCCTCTTTTCTGTGGGACAAAGATAGCATGTTTTCCTTGCTCTGGCCAATAGCCATCCGAGCTAAACACTGTCACCCCCACCCCAGCTTCTGGGCCATGATTCAAATGACTCAAATTCCGTAATTCAGGGAATACGGCATATAACTTGCTGAGTCCATAAGTCTTGGTGTTTCTCACTCAGTGCCTACCACTAACAACGCTGCTCTTTGGAGATAAATCCAGAGTTCGAAATGCTGGTTTACCACTCAGCTGTGTGCCTTTGGATCAAGTAGCTCTCATGTTGGCTGCAGTTCTTTTGTTTGTTACGACACATGGTGAAGCATGCCTTGTTGAGATTTTGCTAATAGAAACTTCTCCTTTGGCTTCGCCTTTTCACTGTCCTGAGTTCTGAGATCTGATGTCTTCTGTAAGGGTAGTGTGCTGGTGTATGACACGTCTTGTTCTTGTACCCCCAACACTGTCCCTAACTTGAACAGTCACTTCTACCAAAGTCATAAAGAAATTAAAGAGGAAATCTACAGTTTCTGCTGTAGTAATAACAATTGCAGATTTTTAAAGTCAGACACCTTCACCAACACCCTCATTTTTCACCTGCACTAGCTATTACTGTTCCTGCTTGCTGCTGCAGAAAACCTTGTACACGTTTAAGTTGTAGCCCTTACATTTTTGCAAGCCATCGTGAGGGTGCAGCTTGGCAAATCCTTCTTTCACTCCAGCAAAGAAAGATTTTGCAGATTGCTATGCCTCTTTGCAAGAGAGAAAAACTTCCAAGCTAAGTGCAACTTGAAAGGGACACTCCCCCGCTACTTTAAGACTGTAGTTGATGTGACTGCATGTGACACAGTTTCCAGTGGATACACCCCCAGTGTCTCCAGCTGTGATTAAAAGCTGTCTTTTCACTTGGGGTTTGTTGTTTAACCATGGCATGAATATATATATATATATATATATATATATATATATATATATATATATATATATATGTATATTTGTGTGTCTGTCACAACTGCATCATGAGAAATGGAGAAGTGGTATGTAAGATGAAAACTCAGATGAACATTTGAATAACAAAGGCTGAATTTTCTGTGCTTAAGTTTCTTAGAGACACTAGTTGGGAATCTAGCCATGTGTGAGGTACATAAAAGTAATTTAAGGACAAAGAGCTAATGGTCGGTGAATATACACCATCTGCCAGGACATGGTCTGCTCACATCAGCCAGACAGAGCATCTTAAAGATTTAAGTGCACTCGAACTTAGCAGCTGCCTTTTAGTGCGTTGGTGTGATTCGGCATTGGGTTTTGACCCTTTGCAGATCAACATTCCTTTTTCAGTTGGCATGCATAGCCACATTTGGAGTATCTTTAGCAAGGCTTTCTCCTCAGAAGTTTACCATTAATATTACCTTTAAAAATGCTCAGACGAGCGGAGCAGACACAGCAAATGCAAGCTGCAAAGGAATAAGTCACATATCCTTCTTTACATTAGAGAGACTGAGCATTCAGCCTTCTATAAAAAGTGTTCCAGAATTCCAACCTGCCCTCTTTGCATCACATGACAGGCAAACTTACACGTGCCATGAGATAAAGCAGTGTATTTCCTTTCTCTGCCATACCTCCCCCACTCACTGAACCAGAAGAATTCAAACATATCATCTTCCTTAAATATATAAGAAAGAAATCTGGGGACATCATGTGTTTCCTTTTCCCTCTGCCTGCCTCTTCTTGTCCCCCCAAGTTCCCAGCAACCATATCCAGTGAATGAGATGCTAATCTATCACCGGCAAATTTAGGCTGACAATACTGTGAATCAACCACATTGATGACATTGATTCTATTTCAAATATTTACAATATAGCGAGACAAGCCTAATCTATTTTCGAAAGAGTTCAAGGTAGGTAGCATCGTTTCAGAGGGGAAAAACAATGGAGCAATGTTTGTGGTTGCTATCTGCAATAATCTGATGCTGACAGAGAGTAGTATTTTATTTAGTAATTAACAGTGTAAAGGGGAGAGAAGCTGTCATGTCGGTTCTTAAGCTGGGGAATGTGATGAAAGATGATATCTGCGATCTCATCCTTTCCACTTGTTTAGGATTGTCAGGATGAGAAATGTCAGCATTATGAAAGCTAGACTCTGCTCTTGATATGATAAAACCCTTCAAAAGCCCGTCTTTCTCCCTCGGCCCCCTCCTTCCTTGCTCTCTCTCTCTCTCCCTCTCTGCACTTGCTTTTTTATTTATCCTGTTTTGTTAGATGGCAGAAATATAATTCTTTTCTTTCTTCCTATTATAAGCCACCATTTTTGTTTTATTATATGTTTCACAACCCCTAATGCCCCTCTGAAAATTACCTTGTTAAATGACAGTGTTTCAAAGCCATGAATCCTTTCCACCATTCCCTCAGAGGTTTGAAACAGTCAACAGACTGTAAAGAATAAATAATAAAAAAGTATTGATTATTTTGATGACTGTGAGATTCAATTAAGTATTAATTTTGCCCTCCAGTGGACCTATCAAGGTATTCAAAAGGGAGGATTTGGCTCAGCTAAATGCGTGCTGAGTGCTTCAGCCTTAAATAGGGAGAAAATGTGTTTACCTACAGTATTTGAAGAAGAAGCGCATTGATGCACAGAGTCCAATATTTAAGTGTGGTGCAAATTAAGCCCTGGTGACAGTGACATTGTTTTCAGTGGTATGAGTATTGACTAAAGAAGTGCATTTGATGACAGCTTAAACTATTTGTATTGATTAACATTTTCATAGATTATCATGTGTCATATCAAATTCACTTTTCAAGCATGAATACATTAAAAAAAAAAAAGCAACCACAGGCATACGGCAACCAATGTAATGGCAGGACGCAGGAGAGCGCACCCCACCTGCTCCAGGCTGGTCACCTGTTTCCTGCTCAGGAACCATTTAGGCATGAACTTGGCAATAAATAGCTCCCAGATCATGGGAAAAAAGGGCATTTCTTGCTTTTCCTTTCCTTCTGCCTCTGTTATTTATGCCAAAGCAACATTATGCGTCTTAGTTCGCAAATGGAAAAAGGCTACACTTGGAAAATATTTCTGATCCTAAATGCCCTCCTAAATAAACTGAAGATAAAGTAAATCTAGATTATTGGGGGCAAAGTTTATCTCTTTTTGGAAGTGATTTTTGTTTTTTTTTTTAATGCTCTGGGCATATGATGCACTAGGTATCTGAATTATTGAACGCAGTTTGTAAGTATTTTCCCAATTCTTTAAAAAATTTGAAAATCATTTTTTTGGTATATTTTGTTGTATGCTGTTTGCTTTAAAATGTTCATTTGGTTTGGGGTCAGTTTCTGTTCTCAGATTGGACCAGGGGAAGTCAACTTCTAAGGGTGTGTGTAGAATTTACATAAGAAATACCTTTTATTCCATTGAAAGCGTTTTGAGGTCTCTTTTCTCCCTATCTCTTTTCTCTGCTCTTGGGATCGAGTTTAATTGCTTCTCCCCCAGGGAGAAGGCTTCTTAAAATAGCCTGTGGTTCCTCCATAGGGTGCTCCTTCTAAAAAGGTATGTTGCTGAAGTACAAACCCAGCACTTTTTTTTTTCTTACTGCATTAAAGACAGAACAAGGTGTAAAAACATTCGCACAAAAGCACATCCCGCAATTAAAGCTGTGTTGGTTAGGCTGCTTTCAAAGAAGTTTTTTTTTTCTTTTTCTTTTCCTTTTCTTCGCCCTCTGAAGCCTCCTGAATCTCTCACATGCTAGTTGAGCTTTAATAGGGTGGGGAGTAATGGAGAACTCCTCGGATCTGTAATAGCTCTTCACTTGACTGCAGCCAGCAATAACAGCAGGAGCAGCCAGAGATAAGAGAGAGAGGAGAGAGGGTGTGTGTGTGTGTGTGTGTGTGTGTGAGAGAGAGAGAGAGAGAGAGAGAGAGAGAGAGAGAGAGAGGAGAGGGAGAGGACACGCACTCTAAAGCAGCTACTTTTTTTCCTCCCCTTCTCTTTCCTCCCATCCCAGGATCCAATGATAGCTGCACAAGTCAGTAAGCCCTTGCTGTCAGCGCAGAGTGAAATGAATGCGGAGTTGAGAGGTGAAGACAAGGCTGCTACTTCAGACAGCGAGCTGAATGAGTCCCTGCTTGCGCCTGTGGAATCAAATGACAACGAGGACACTCCCAGCAAGCTCTTCGGTAAGTCTGTCTAGGTATTTCATTTCAGTCCTACCATGTTGTCCGGAAGAGCAATCCGACCCCTCACCCCCTCCCCCTCTCCCCGGTTGTTCATTCAATTTTCTTGTAAGTACTAAAGAGGAGTTTCGCATCTTGGAGGTGCTAAGCCACCAAAGCCGATCCCAGCTGGCTGGGAGGCTGTCCTCCAAACTTTTACCAAGAAGGAACTTATTCGCTGCCCATTTTGATTTGTCAAACATTTCCTGGGTTCCCCAGGCTGGAAATTGTTTGGAAAAAAAATAAAACAAGAAATGAAAATGGTAATAATAATCAGGAAATCAGTTGCATTGTGAGAATTGGTTAACATTTATTGAATAAATATCGACTCGGTTTCGGGTTGCTTTGCAGCCTTTTGTTAAAGGGAAGGAGAGTAAAGAGTTATTATCTGTAGTCAAAAGACTAGAGAGGAGGATTGAAAAATATCAATACAAGTCGTGCTATGCCAGGTAAATAAAGGTGGCTGCAGGAATTGCTCAGAGAAATAACATTTAGTCATCACAATCAGGACAAATGCTTCTTTTAAAAGGATACTGAGGAAAGAAAATAGGGCTTCGCATCCCTCCTCCACCCCTCTCATCTTTAACATTATGTTGATAGCCTCCGAGTGAATGTAGAGAGTGAATGTAGAAGAGGCAGCCCGGGACCTTTTAGGAATCTTTGTTTCATAAACAAAACAAGAACAAGCAGACTGCCACTCCAGCCAGGACATCTGTCACTCAAACCGATGGCACTCTGTAAACCAACTCAAGCAACTGTGATCTCTACTCAGAAAGGGGAGCAGGTTGTTCAAGCGGGTGCCTGAGTGATAGATGTTGACAGATGACTCTGCTGAGAAGCACTTTATGGTTCCGAGTGACATTAGGTTTTCAGAACAATTGTCCCCGAAACACTTGCTTTTAATTATTTTACCATGTCGGCGTATATACTAACGTGATGCAATACATCATGCAGAGTGAGAATTGCTTGCCCTGACGTTAACGGACTGTCAGAAGCCTGAACTTCAAAGAAAAGCTAGCATAATTGCGGAGACTACCTTGTTAAGAAAGTCATTTATTTAGCATAAGAGAAAGACTATTTTTTAGCTTATACTGCCTGGACAGTTGGGTGACACCCTGCCACTTTCAATAAAAGAGATTCTGCCTAATTTTAAATGCATCCTAAGTTAAATATCAGAGAGATGTCACAGAGAAACTTTGCTTTGTAAATTTTTATGGGCCAAAGAATGAGTTTTACTTAAGAATACTGTATATGCTAGTTTCAAAAAAATCCTTCAACATTATCTTTTCTTCAAAAGGATATTAATTCTGATATAACATTTCCAAACCTAGGCATTAAGGTTCCAGCATCTTCATTCTGAAGAAATATTTTGTTATTGTCTTAAGTTTTTATCGACATAGGAAGAGTTAGGTCCTAAATTTCATTTTAGGAGACTAGAGAAAGAAGTCAGATAAAATTATTAATTTTAGGGAGTAAAAGGGCACACTCAAGCCCCTCTGATGTAGAGGATATCACGTAAGCACTTGACTTTTAAAAAGTAATCAATTGAGAGTTCAACATGGCTTATAGTCACTGAATTATTTGTTCTTAAACTTTGCATGCATTTTTTAAATAAAGGCATACACATTTTATAGACTGAGGTTTATAGCTCCAACTTGTTTTCTTTTGAGTTAACTAACAGAGATGATTAATTTGGCTGCTTAATATTTATTTGGATTGCTCAATATTGAAAATTTTTATACATTTATTATTCTACTTCTTACCACTTTGCATGTTTAGTGAAATAAGCTTGCAAAAATCTAGCAGTTTCAGAGAGATTTGAATTAAAAGTTTGCTGAAATATCTTTTAAGAAGTACCTTTATGAGATGCCATGTACTAAGAAATTGCAGTGTAAGTTAAAAATCATGGTGGGCTATGAAAGGCCCACACCTTTATGTTAAGGTTCCTCGCTGTATCCTATATTTTACATTCCTTTTGTATTCACTTGGTTGTCATTGGTTTCTAGTTGACTTTTCAAACAGTATGAATACTTCCTCATTTTCATTTAGCTAAAGAAGAAATCTATGAACAGATTTGGAAACTTTGAAACAAAAATTATAGATAACAAGAGACAGAGGTGGTAGCCCGCCCCTGGGGAGGAGAGGACCCTCCTGGTATTGTAAGGTTTTCCTAGCAGTTAGGTCTATTGTATTATCACTTCTAAATATTCATAAGACTTGGCCATGGGAATCCTAGTTTACATAAGTGTCTAAAACTTTCTAGATTACTACTCTCACAGAATTTTTAACAACTTTGGTGACACACTGTAAGGGGCCACACTTCATTTGATATGCATTTATTCAGGTCTTTATTTTTTGCTTTTTGGTATAATTCTGATTGCCTTTTCTACTTGATGATGAAAAATTGTGTCCCTCCCAAACAGGTGAGAACAACGATGTTTTCCTCTGGACAATGATTTTTCTAATATGCTCTCTATCTCAAACCATCATTAGCTTATGCATTGTTATTGAAAATGGTGCTTCTGCTTCCCTAATACAAGGGGCAGATTAAGGGAAATTGTGTGCATTTTGATATACTTAGTGTCATGGGGCGACACTACCCAACAACAGGACATGGGTAGAGCTCGGTCCTCCTATTGTACCTGAAATTTCAGTATAAATACATTTCTTTGCAGCCCGTTCTCCCATCTGTGTCTCGCTCAAATTAGCAGTCCAGAGGACGAGCCTCTTTCTCTCACAGTATGGCACCTTCAGCCCAAAACTGCAGGAGAAAGGCTAATACTGATGCCCTCTATGGATAAACAAAGGAAATTCCAGAAGCCATTGGGCTTTTTATGCCTCTCCTTAAATTGCACCTCTGCACTTAACAGCATCCAAAGGGAAACATACTGTGCAGAATGCTTCCGTGCTCTGAGCCGCTCAGAATACCAGAAGGAGAAACAAGAAGCCGTATGCCAGCCTAAGTAGAAAGTTCAGAAAAGGACCCTTGTGTTTTATAAAGTAATTACATCAGAGGTAACGTTTTGCTTAACTTGAACAGCCGTGGAAGCTAAAGTACACTTAGGAGAGATGAATTCACATTTCATTGAGAAACATGTGGCGAAGTCGTTCTCCGTGATATCATTAAGTGGTGCATTATTTATCCTTGTAAAGCCTGTGGAATAGCTATCTCCATTTTCAGCTCATGACTGTATTATGCTGAGCTCTGAGCCACAGGAAGCAGTTTGCAGGGGGAGGCTTGTGTGTGTGCATGGAAGTGCGTTAGTAGTACACCTGGTGCTGTGTCTCGTGGCGTTCCCACTGCATGATCAAATGAGTGATGCTTCACAGGGCCAGTCCCTGAATATGTGACAAGCGCTCTACATGCTGGAAGCCATCCTCAAAACTGGCCTTTGGCAACCAATCTTCAAGGGAAGAGGTCGCTGTGTTTCTCTGGTGACATTTATAGTCCTCGTGTCACTGTGGCACTTCACTTTTAGTTACGCCCATCAAGAATTCAGTGTCCCACAGTCAGTTGAGTTTGATGCTAAAATTTAAATGGGAGGATCAACTACTTGGCCAGGAAAATGGCTTCAGAAAAGATAAAAGTAATATATATCACTGGGAAAGTATCTGTACTAAAGTTTTCCTGTGCACTCCTAGCTGAAGCAGTGAGACCTCATAAACGTGCCCTATGTATCTCCCCCCGAATATATTTGAGATTTGAAAGATGATTTATTGACAGTATTCCTTCTAGGGATCTTTTTTATCATTTCAAGTTGAACCTTGTGATGGCTTTCCCTCAAGTTCCAGCTAACTTGGGTGACTAGGAGTGTCTGTGGCTTTCTTCTCAGCTGGGCTTCCTGAAGGTGACTAGGGTGCCCCGCTCAGAACCTCACACCATGATGCAAACAGCAGACAGATACCACGGATAAGCATGGTACCTGAAATAAAAAGAAAAACCCTGGTTTGTCTTCCCTCACGTATTTTCCTTGGTTAAGAGAAATTGTGGGTAGCAGTACATAGGAGAGTAGATAGTTTTAATATCATTTATCTGTGAACTATTAGAAAATTGTTGAAAGTTAGGTCAGCAATTCCTCTATGCTGAGCAGTATACTATCTGTTGTGTTTTACTTTTCCTTTTGGTGATCTTTCTCACAGAAACATACATTATAAGATTTTTTTTTTCCAAATTGCCATCCAGTTTGACTTGATTAGAATTTATGGTGGTGGAGTCCTTTTCAATGACAAATGGACAAAGGACTAAATTGTCTGTCACCCCTTGAGACAGCAGTCTCTGCAGGCCAGTGTGGAGGTCACCGCAGGGTATTCTGGGGCTGCACTTTGGGGTGATGGTGTCTCTCCCCTGTGCATGAAGGGGTGTCTTCACTATGGGATCCCTGCCTTCATGACTTCATTTAAACATCTCTCTCAGGGTTTCAGAAGCTGGAGTGTTTATAATATTCTGGGAAAATATGCTGGAGCTGGCAATCAGCACACAGGACTGAAGCCCAAGAGTGATCTGGCTTTGAGATGAGGAAAACTCTTTAGAGAAATATATTTATTTAAAACTATATTTTAATGTTTCTGTATTAATATCAATTGAAAATTTATATTTTCTTTCACGGAAGAAAGTGCGTTTTGCTAGCAAAATATAAAGTCAGCATATTTAAAAGCCAACTAAATAATTTAAGTAATAGCTTCTATGTAAAAACAGTTATTTAAAATAGATGACTAGAAACCTGTATTTGTATAGGTAAATGGGATACATGATAAGGTATTTGTCAAAAATCAATTATGGCTTAATAGTCAAACAAAACCCTTTTTGCTCTCTGAGTACTTCGGGGGGGGGGGAATGTACATTTGGATGCTTTTTTACATTTAAGAAAATCTCCTGCACAGAAGCATTTCTTAAAAAAAAAAAATCAGTGAGAGGTTGTGTGTATTTAAACAAGTCTAGTTTAGTGGGGGGTTTTCCCCCCTCG